ACAACAACAACAACAACAACAAAGAAGACGACAACGCCAACAACGACGACAACAATAACAACAACAACAATTACTATAAAAGCAAAGCTTTCATCATTTACAATTCACCACCCGGTCACTAACATCACCATAAAAATAATCATGATCATCAACAGTCATCATTAAATTTTTATCATCAGTAGCAGTATGAGGTCTTGATTATAAAGGGGGGGGGGGGGGGGAAAAAAATCCACGGGAATCCCACATGAATTAATTAAATTTTGGTGTTGAAAGCAAACTTTTTGGGAGGGGCACATTCCTCTTGTTCTACCCCTCCCCAAATAAGTGAGACGCATTATCAGTCATATTAATATTTTCATCATCATCATCATTTATCATTGATTATAATCATCACCAACACCTCATCATCTTCACCACAAGCAGCATCAAGAACATCATATAATGTATTATTACCTTTGGTCTTCCTTCTATAAAATACTTCTGTCTTTCTCCACCAACGACCACTTCTCCTCCCAGTATAGGCACCAGGGTAGCAAGTGCATAGAATGTTGCTGATACTAGACTGTCGTTTGTGTCTCGTAAACCAATTAGAATCTGAAAGAATACAGAAAACGAGATACTGTAGTAAATATAAATGATGAAAAGAAAGAAATGAATGGATGACTGGAAAGATGGATAGATGAAAATGGATGGATGATTGAAGAGATGGAAGAATAGAGTAATGAAAATCAAATGGACTGCTAATGAAGACAAAAATGCAGTGGCGGATCCAAGGGAGGGGTGCAGGGGGGTGTGCACCCTCCCTGGTTCAACTCTGTGCCCCTACTTCGAAGATAACCAATGCAAAATAATGTTTTTTCCCTTTGATTCTAAGGGGTGCACCCCTCCCTGGGTTAACTTTGTGCAGTGCAACCCTCCCCGAACAAATTCCTGTATCTTCCCCTGAAATGTGTCTAGATGGAGGATGGAAAGATAGATTGAGATGGTTGGGTGGATGGATGGATGGACGGACGGACAGACATGAATAAATGAGGGTTTGATGGATGGGATTTTGCTATTCATTTTTTATCATAATTACCTGGGGTAATACAACTTTTTCCAAGTCCTCCACTTCAAATGCCTTGGAAAACAGTGGGAAAAACTTGAGTAGCATTATCCTGATATGCAAGTCTTTAATGACCCAGAGCTTCTTCAATATAGGAGTGCAGTATTGTCTAGAAAATAAAACATCAAAATCTTGCTATTACTGGGCTTAAAAGGGCTTTTTGGGGCGAGTCTCATTGGGACTACGAGTCCGTTCGCTCTGCCCCTCATGTAGTTTACGTGTATCCACTTTCTTTGGATTCCATTTTTTTATTTATTTATGTAATCTGCATGGAATTGAAGTCACCAATAAATAAATAGATAAATGATGGTCAGACACGGGACAATGATCAGCCAGAACTGGGACTTATCTGGTCAAATCTTTGCCTTGCTGATCATTTTGACCAGTAACATTTAGTCAGAAATAAGGTATGACTAAGAAAAACTAATTTGACCTGTGATCATGACCAGAAAATGAGTGGCCGTTATTTTAAGCCCTGTATTAGGCAAGTCCCAGTAAAATATCTATTACCTAAGTTCATTGTCATAACTTACCTGAACAGATCCAATGGCAGCACTGGGAAAATATTATCTGTTTCATGTTGTATCATACCTGGGCAAAAAATTGCTATGATTAATCAAATCTTGAAGGAACTTTGTGTTGAGCATGAACACCAGCACCAGCACCAGCACCAGCACCAGCACCAGCACCAGCACCAGCACCAGCACCAGCACCAGCACCAGCACCAGCACCAGCATCACAGTCACCATCACTATTGTCATCATCCCCATCTATTATTATCACTACCATCATCTAAAACTATCATCGTCATCACTATTGTCGTCATCACAGTCATCATCACCACCGTGGCTGCCACATCATCATGGTCATCATCATCATCATCCCCATCTATTATTATCACTACCATCACCTAAAACTATCATCATCATCACTATCATCATATTCACAGTCGTCATCACCACCGCTGCCGCGGCATCATCATGGTCATCATCATCATCATCCCCATCATTATCACTACCATCACCTGAAACTATCATCATCATCACTATCGTCATATTCACAGTCGTCATCACCACTGCCACCGCTGCATCGTCATCACCACTATCATTACTGTGTGCAGCTTACCTGTGCCAGGGGTCAGCAGATGAGGTAAGAATTCCTTTTCTGCACTCGGCTCAGCCATAACAAACCTGGACATTAGCTTAGTCAAGAGTCGTCTGGCAATAACACTAGGAGAGATGTTCTGCAACTTTGATGCCAATGAACTATAAAAGAAATGCTAAACTTAAATCATACTTGTTTTCCTATATACACCTGAAAAAATATAACTAGCTTTGCTTTAGGGATGGCTTTAAAAAATCAAGAGTGGTGTAGCAGACGTAGTACACTTTCCTGTTCCTTATCTGCTAAAAAGCCATGTACTGACTTAAATCAGCCCAAAGGTTGTCCCTTGACAAAATTAATGTCATAGTACAGTGTGAAAACTAAAGTGTAAGGTTACCTAAAGAACTTGTCTTTATCAATGTCACTCTTGATGGTAATGTTACTCAGGAATGTCACAACTTCTAAATAGTCATTTCTGTGAGAAACATATAATCCAATCAATTATGTCATAATCATATAAATAGTAAAACATTTAAGACAGTAAGAAATTCAAGACCCTCCTTTTAAGTCAACAAGGCAGGGCCATAGGCAGACTGAATTGTTTACTGAGGCAAATGAGTGTCAAAGGTGGGAGCAACTAGGGGACTCAATTTTGATATTGAGATCCTCAGAAATTCATTTTCCAGGGTTTTGAGGCCCAGTATTTGTGACATTTTACTAAGGGAACTGCCTCACTTGTCTCATAGAGGCTATGGCCCTGCAAGAAAACAAGTTTGATCAAAATAAAATGGTTTGACCCTCCACTAAAGTTCAAATTATTACTGATGACCCTCACCTTTGAAGCCCAGCCCTCAGACCAAAAAATGTACTTTCCCTTAAATTGAAAGGATAAAGCCATTTTTAGTGGTTAGAAATGACTTACTTGAAATAATCATTTGATAGAAGACTTTGTAGTTCAGGCCGCATCTGTAGATAGAAAAATCAAATTAGTTTACAACTGAGAACTACATATATATATTTCTCATGGAGATGGATATACCTTACCTTTGGTTCTGTGTTCAGGAAAGATGTTTGCATCAGCTCACCAAACCTATCACCTGCTGTGCCTGGAAAAGTGGAGGATTTAAACAATCAAACAAACTATGGTACTGTACCAGGATGGGTAAGATATTGATGTGATGTCTCTGACAGCTTCTCAAAGACTTCACTTAAGGTTTTAAGTTTCCCACCCCGATATTGTATATACCYGTTTTTTTAAAAGGTTGTCGTTGCCAAAGGTGATAGACAATAGGCGAAAAGTGATAGGTATTCCAAGATCCAAGAATAGCTGGAACTGTTTCTGATTCTTATTATCTGCAAGAACATGGGCCTCCGTGTTGAGATTCATTCAATGTTCTTTGTATTCAATGAAACCACTTCCATGTTGGAATAACCTATCACCTTTGCCGATGACAATGTTTATTGAAATAGGACTGGAGTATACTATTTGTTCTACATGAATTCAATTACAATTTTTCAATATTGATTCTTCATTATTTTAAATTATGATATCAGCATTTTGAGAAACGGTACTAAAATAAACAACTTTTTGGAATAAATAAAAAAATAAAATAAAAAAATAAATAAATAAATAATTTATAGTAAACCTTTTTTTTAAATATTGGCTAAGTGTTGAGACAAAGGCTCAAGGTCTTCATACGGCAACTGATATTGGCGTTGTGTTAGATACATGTAGACAGCAAGTAACACCTGGTAGTGTGTTTTTGGATAAAATTTGGATGAAATAATTCTGACTCACCCAGATCATCCCTGCTGTCCAGTATATCACTAACCAACATCCCAAATCCATATGCATCAATGCAATGCTTGTTTTCTGCCGTTAGAGTCACTTTGTCTTCCTGTCATCATAAAAAGTAATTATCATTTTTGTTATTGTAAAAAACAAATTGACATCAATTTTTTATGTGTCTGTTCTCTTATTGATGATAAATTGCGTCATCACATTGTCAAAGTAGTAAGCGGATCCACACTACTTTGACAATGTGATGATGCAGTTTATCATCAATTAGGGACAGACACATAAAAAACTGATGTCCATTTGTGTAAATCTGTATGACATTAAAGCATTGACATAAAATCCATTTGCTGTACTATGTTGGAATATATTGGAATACCAGTATGTGTTATCTATTGCACTACTGTAACCAACACTAACCTTTTCATCTGGTGCCACTGCCTTAATATCTCTCAGTGGTTTAATATCTTCCAAGAACTAGAAAATAAAAATCCCTAATTATTCATGATCACCAAACATCCTCTTGCTTATACAATTTTTCTTTTAAGTTTACAAAAAAACATATCTGCGCTTCCTCTGGCCGTCCAACAAAAACTGACAGAAAATGAGCAATAATAATAGGACGTTTGCATGATGGCATCATGGACCTCTGCTACCAGACTCCCTTGCGCCATTGACCTCTACTACCTGACTCCCTTGTGTCATTAACCTCTTCTACCTGACTACCTTGTGTCATTGACCTCTTCTACCTGACTCCCTTGTGTCATTGACCCCTACTACCTGACTCCCTTGTGTCATTGACCTCTACTACCTGACTCCCTTGTGTCATTGACCTCT